CCGACTGCCAAGCCTCCTACATCGGTGAGACTGGCAGAAACCTCACAACAAGACTGACTGAACACAGACGGGCGACGAGGAAAGGTGATGTCAGCAATCACATTGCTGAACACCATCGACTTACCAACCACAACATTGACTGGGACTCTGCGCAATGCCTAACCTACAGCACTGACTATTTTCAACGACTGACTCTGGAAAGCTGGTTTACTAACTTAGAACAGACTCCCCTAAACAGATGTCAACAACTACCCGCTCCATACAAACGACTCATTCAGGACATAAACATCGCAAACGACCGAAAAAGAACGACCTAACTTTACCGACAGATCGAAACAGACCAATCACGACCGACTTACGTCACTTGAGTCTTACAGCCAATAACATCACGGCAAAACCAACCGATCATTTCACACGAACTGGAATAAGAACATTCTACTGACAACAATCATTCACTTGACTCTGATGATGACTTCCGCACAGGTTGTCGAAACGTCAGTCACTACCACCGACAACAGTCCTTCTCAGGACTACACTCACCCGGACGATCAGACTACACCTTCACATGTTACCCCCGGGTTCAAACCATTTACTGCATGATTAAATTGACCAACAACGGTATCACTAATTATGGAGGAGGTTTAAAAAATGGTAAACACCAAAAGCGGTGGAAATCATGAACGTGGAAAATAATAGAGCTTGAAAAGGTTTAAGTATATCACGTTAGATAAGGGAATATTTCAACTGATATTCTCTTCCAGTGGATTAAAACATATCCGATTAAGTATAGCAATTTACATAAGTGCTCTAGTTACCAGTAGAATCAATAATTTGCAGCTCTCACCTGGGTGAGGACCGGTTATTTCTTGAAGGTCGACCTGTACTAGAGTTTAGTAATACATCTTGGTTAATACCCGTACCTCATGCCATGCCTATGCATGTCTGCAGAACTATTAACTTTAAACTCCTAGACCTGAAAAAGAGTTTATTAGTGAGAATGAAAAACAAACATATTTAAAAAAACGGATACGATAGAACAGATCGACAACCATCTTTTTATTGTACGTGTTTCCGGCTTTATGGCATTTCCGACATATGCCAAGGTTTAAAGAAAAGGGTTATGAAACCTAAATTGAAACACAACCAGGTGAAAGAAGGAATGAATTGAAAAACAAAAAGAGCATAACACTGCTTAATATATCTCGCTCTCAAAGTTTCTTCCATTTCTTTTTGATCGCGCTGAATAAAGAAAGAAATTCCCGGAATACCCTTTCTCCATAGAAAGAGCCATCTCGTTTTATAAATCTATTGACCTTCCTTTCGGCTCATTGTCCTTCGCCAAGAAAACAACAGGTGCCTTCATTCGCCAAGAAATTTGCACCTTTACAAGCAACTTCTCTTCCACACAATCGAGCACAGGTCAATATAGTAAGTAAGTAAGTAAGGACTTTATTTATAGAGGGGGACACGTAACAGCTGAAAAGCTGACAAACCTGTGGCCCTCTAACTAGATTATACAGCATTACAAAAAACTGATAAATAAATAAATATATAAATAATTACAAAATTCTATGATAGAAATAGCAGGATATATTAAAAATATTCAGAAAGATAAAATTAATTTATAAAAAATTAAAATTAGATAATGTGCTATTACTTAATATTGTTTCAAAGTTGTCCAGGTTTTTATACGAGCTTATAAAATGCTTTTTCACAGCTGTTTTGAATAATTTCATACTAGGTTTATTTTTGATATCATGGGGAAGGCTGTTCCATAACTTAACTGCGTCAACACTGAATGCCTTGCCACCATCGTTATTTCTTAGGTATTTGGGACACACTAAATTTAAATTGCCATGTCTAGTAGACCTATTGTGTACAGAACTGTTCACAATATAGAGTCGGCCTTTTTACTTTGAAGAGCATTTTCATCAACAAGAAAAGTGTTTTCCTCTATGCGAAAGCAAGTGCCCTGTTCATCTTCTGCGGATGTCCTCGCCGGTGTCAACGAGAAAGCGCATATGAGAGCAAATACCTTCCATGGTGGGAAGATCTGCAAAAAAGGAAATAAAACAAGACACGATACCTTACGTAGAAAAAGTTAAAGAGCGTTGTTGGAGTATTGTTGTATTGAAACACTTTTGATGAGAAATCACTCACGAATTTGAGAGCCATCAGTTCCACGATAAAAGCAACATTGGAAGCAGAATGATACTTTTAATGATTTTATCGAGTTTTTTTTGTCAAACAAAAACATACGTAATGCTTTCGAGAGAAGCATTGCCAAGCAGATCAATTTTATGCTCTGCACTGTTTAATTTCTTAATACGGTATTTGTCCATTATTCAGGGATAAAGTATCGGTGTGTGATGTATTTGAAAAAAAAAATGTTCAGGGGTTCATAATGTATGAAGCAAAACCTTGCAAAATTGTTAAATAGTTCAACTTTAATATGCATTTTTTATGGCATGAGTCGGAAAAAACAATCATAAATCGCAAAAAAAAATTTAAAAAAAGAAAAGAACTGGAATTGTATTACTACGTGTCAAGATGAAATTGGCCACGTTCAGACACAAATACCGAAAAACTCAAAGTGCTTTTAGAGAGATCTTGAAATGTATCAATTAGGATTCACAAAGTAATGCAACATGAGTGGTTGCAAACATCGTGCTTTTAACCTGAAATCATAAGTTTGGTAAATTTTTGTTAGTATTTCCGACGTAAGGCCAGAAAAGGCAAACTGTTTTGCAAAATAAAGTAGGGGAGAAATTCAAGTGTCTTAGAACTGTATGTATCCTTTTGAACCACGCCGTATATCACATTGAAACTCGTGTATTGAGTTAATTTGTTAGTTCTACAAAGTACAGCCTGTTTCCCAGACATCTACTCTTCCGCTCTCAATGCAAATATAGAACAAACTGTGTTATCACAGGTAGACACCGCTATGGGTTTGACGTCACACGGCATCAATTACTGAATGGATGCTAAAATTGATCCAGGTTTTGTTCAGTCCATTAATTATATTTACAATCAGTTCAATGAGGTTCACTTATTTTTTGTTTTATATGTTTTCTTGAGTGATTCATTGGTCGTTTTTGGATGAAAAAATAAGCCGGTTAAATACTCATGATGCCGCAATTCATCTGTTTAAAACGCCAAACAAAGAAATGACATACCCTTTTAGAGACCCAAGCCCTAAAAACCAAACCGTATTGAGCAGTACTCCACTAAGTCAAATATGGAAGGATTCGAATATCAAAAGTAATCACAAAGAGAAATCACAACGGCCAATAAGAACTAAGGTTAGCATCATAATTACCCAATGATAACTCAAAAAGAATAGGCACACCGTGAAAAGCGCGGGAAAATGCATATAGCCAGATGACGATTCGTGTCATTTGGCATCAAATTGGTTGCGAGGATGGCGGGAGTTTTGTAAACCAATCACAAAGGGTAAAAAATAATGCAAAACAAAAACAATCCCAGATTGCCTTCGATTATCAACTTAAAATGTCTCTGGCTGAATGTAAACATCCAGTTCAGTGGTTTTCATGATTATTGCATGGCGGATACAAACAATAATAATTTCAAACATTGAGAGCTTAACAATAAAAAAATAGACAAATGTGCAAAAAAAAAAAATTAAAAGAGATACACGGAGTCTCTGACATAATGAATAATACCTCATTAAGTCAAAGTTTCGCTAAGTGATGTGAATTATTTAAAATTCGACTGAAAAATAAAAATTCTGAAAGATAATCTGGCTTTTTTACACGATAAGAGTAGCTAGCTCTTTGTTTGTGTTCATATCATGAGTGTCGATGGATGGATGGAGCTTGAAACTCCAGCGTTCACAATCTAATCCAGAATTCTCCCTTCTGGCAGCGACATTTTTCCAGCATGAATGAGGTGTAGGAATTTATTCTTTTACCCGAACAATATTTTAAGAGCCTCTAGCTAATAAGTTTATAAATGTTCGTCATTGCATTGCTTACTACAGCACAGGCTAAAACCATTTTGAAACGCCAAAAAAGAATCTGGAATGAACTAACAAGTACAAAATTAGCCAATCAGCTAAATTTTAACTAGTTCAGTATGCTTCTCATACTCAAGAAGTAAAAACTGTCCAATCATCAATCCGTAATGTGACAGCTCATCAAAAGCAAACTTATTCAGTATACAGTTATACTGAATTTGTTTGAATTTATACTTATGAAGTTTGCAGACAGCCAATCATTATCAGGGCCCGTTTAGACGGTTTCAAGATTTGCGTCAACATGTATTCAACAATTTGTTGAACCTAATTTTCGGTGCGTTTGTCCAAAATTGTTAAAAACGTAAAAAATGTTGATTTAAAGGTGTTGAAAGCGTGTTCAATAAGTTTAAATCTGTTTAAACTTTCATTCAACATCGATTCAACTTTTCCTTTGTAAGGCCTTTGTAAGGCCTTTGGAAGACGTTTGTAAGGCCTTTAAATTGGTCGCCGCAGAATTTTGTCTGTGCCTTCAACATTTGCCTAACATCCATTCAACTTTTGTCGAACGATTGTTGATAAAATGTTGCAACCGTCTAAACGAGCCCTTAAGGACTCCGGCTTTAGCAGTCGGCGACGCGGCGGAAGATGTCTATTAAAAAACTATTATATTTATTTGGTTAGAATTTCCCGAATGGCTGGATGTGTTTATGGTTCTCTGCGACGCTTCACTTCAACTTTAGCACAACGTATGCGAGCTGCCTTGGATTCCATATGGAAACTTAGATAATTTGCTGCTGGGCTCTTTGTCCACAGACCAAGCAAATCAAAAGTTGATTGTTTTGTAGAGGACGGCTGAGAAAAGTACAAACTTTTCAAAGGTACGCGCTGAGCTATGTTCCGCCCATTAGATCTTGTTTTCCCACGTCCTCGTCACCCTTAGCCAATGAGAACTCAAAGTGAAAATAGGTACACTGTGAAACGCGCGGGAAAACGCTATTGGTTTTATTCAAATCGGTTGCGATGATGGCGCGAGTTTTGTAAACAACTCACAGAGCGTAAAAAGTAATGCAAAACCAAAGTAATCCCAGGTTGCTTTCGATTATTAACGTAAAACGTCTCTGAGTTAAAAAAATCTAGTTCATTAGTTCTCACGAGTATCGTAAACATTAGCGGTAAAAAGAGTAATATACTAAAATATTGAGAGCTGAAACGTTGTTCTAGAACATTATTGAAAACAAACAAACGTACAAAAACAAGTAAAATGGATATACGAAGGCTCTGAAATATTGACAAAAACCTCATCAAGTCAAAATTTCGCGAAGTGATTTGAATTATCTACAATTCGAGTGCAGAGAAGATAAAAAATTCTGAAAGTTGATCTAGCGTCTTAACACGATGAGAGCAGCAAGCCCTCTCTTTGCTTATGCTCATCTTATTTGCGTTGACTTGACTTAAACCTGCTGCCCCCACAATCAGCTGATCCAAAGTTCTTCCTTCTGGAAGCGACACCTTTTCACCGAAAATAATAGAGTTTAGAGTTTAGAGTTTAGATTTCTACCAAAATAGGACCCTATCAGTCTCTAGCTTATAAGTTTTCGTCATTGGTTTCCACGTAGTTTTGGGCGAAGAAGTTAATCACTTCTTGAAGATATGTGCGAGAAAAATGTATGAGCTGGTTAGTTTGTTGCTGTTTGTCTTAGCTACTTGGCACGAATGAAAATGTTACCATGTGGATCGACAACATTCTTCTTTTGGTTGACCATATTTCTTCCAAGAGGATCATGGGTAGGCCAATCTTGGCCCGTGTGACCATCAAAATAATAATAGATGCTCCACAGACCACCCAGGGCGAACATCGGTCCATGGTTAAGGAAATACAATTTGGAAGGGGCTGGAGATGATTTACTAGGTTCAGCCACGTATTTGATGATTGTGCAGTTGATGTCACCTTCCTGCCAATCAACCAAGCTGCCATTTTCTGAATGACACACCAACCAGTTGTTTATGTTGCTTTTGATGAGGACTTGTCTACCGAGTTGTTTCCAGAGTGAGAAGTTCACGGCGTTGTAGTCTGTTTCATTTAATGGAGGTATTGTAGAGACAGGAACATCCGCTTTGGCCTTAACCAGCCAATTTGGTCTTGGAGTGATCGCATTTGAAACATAATCGAAGTGACCGTAGTTAGTAAAGGAATAGCTCCATACTAGTGTCCAGCCTCCTCCATCAGTCTCCATGTCACAGTAAGCCTCGAAAGCGTTGACCTGAGATCCACCATCAGGATCGATCCAATAAACACCCGAGGATGTAGTGGGAGATTGGTCGTAGAGAGTCTGGCACGAGGTTACCGCTGAATTCTGGTCAGAACCGGGAGGCGGAGGAGCGTTTTTTTCTGTAATAATAAACATGAATAACTTGACCAACAACTCGTTATGAGGAATTATGGAGGGGTGTTAGAAAATGGTTAACACCAAAAGCGTTGGAAATCAGAACCTGGAGAATATAAGAGACGCCGCCAGAATATTTCGAGAATCGAAAACCAAAAACTAGCAAAAACTAACGATAAAAACCGACGTTTCGGTGTCATCATGACGCCATTGTCAAGGAGAAATAAAAAATAAAGTTTGTGGCAAGGTGTAACACTAAATTAGCATAAATATGACGAGCTAATTAAAAAAATACTTTTGCGCGAATTGAATCGCTTTGCACGTTCAGAGTGGGTTTTAAGTCTCTGATGAAAAGCATTTCGTTCACCAAACAATCGAACTTGTTACTACACTTTTTCAGAATGCTAAAACGTTTCAGTAGGTCTTTCGGGACTTCGCTGTGCCGTTCGTGGTAGTGTTTATATATTGAAGATGCCTTTCGTTTATGTCCATCCAATGATGACACCGAAACGTCGGTTTTTATCGCTAGTTTTTGCTAGTCTTTGCATTTCTAAATCTTTATTGATAAGAATCGAAAACCAGTGACGAAAATTCGAATTTTTTTTTTATTCTACCAAAACATCCCTTTCTGTGAACTAGTTTCGAAAAAAAATATTTTAAAATTCCAATCGATCAATCAACTTATTTAACGCGGTCAGAACGCTTAGCTAAAAGCTAGTTTACAGGTATGCCACGCAATAAAAAGAGAAAAGGAAATTATAAAGCCTTATGAAAGTATATAAATTTAAATAAATTAAGATTAAGAACTAGCTAATATTAAAATATGCGAATTTAACAATGTAGTCACCGAGTTGAACATATGAATTTAATCATTAAAAACAGGAAATATAATTAAGGATAGATCCTCACCGCGCTAGCGTACCGTGAGATCTAATGTTTTTAAGTAATTTTAAAAAGTAGTAAATGCTTGTATCTTTCGATACTCGTCCGGTAAAGCGTTCCATAGTTTCGATGCAGTATATCTCCTTGATCTTAACCCGAAAATTGTTGATGTTACTTTTGGGAGGTCCAGTATTGTGGTGCCCCTAAGGTTAAAAGTGGAGCACCTAACTGTTATAAGATCACGTAAGCTTTTTGGTCCTGCATCACTGGTTAATATCTTAAAGAGAGTGGACAATATTTGCGCTAATCGCTGTTCACGAAGACTTGAGAGACCGATACGCTTACAAAGTTATTCATAAGGTGAGGACTTATCTCTAAAAACAAAACGGAGCGCACGTTTGTTCATCAACTCTAACTTGTCAGCTGACTTCTTATTACAGAAGTGCCACGTTTCGGAGCAGTAATTAAAGTGTGGTAAAATGAAGGCTTTGTAAAGATCCCTTGTAGTCTCAAAAGACAACATTTGCTGCATCCTTTTTAACACAGCCACCTGTTGACTGACTTTTCTACATAGTTTAGCAATGTACTTTTCAAAATTTAATTCATCATCGATTGTCACGCCAAGAAGTTCCATTGTGTTGGATATGGGAAGTTGTGACTCCTCACACTTAAACACTGGTTCATCAGTTCCTTTGTGTCTTCCCAACACCATTGCCCGGTATTTGAACTGTTCCTCTTCATACCATTACGCGCCAACCATATATCAGCATTACTAAGATCATTGTTGATTGTTTCTTCAATTTTGGAGAGTTGATTGTCGGCGTAAAAGAATTGAGCATCATCAGCGTAAGTGGACAGAGTGCACTTCTCGATGGCATATGAAAGATCGTTCATGAAGATGTTGAATAGTAAAGGGCTGAGGATGGATCCCAGTGGTACACCATTGCATATAGGTTGCCAATTGGAAAGCGTATCCTTTAGTCTCACTCTTTGGAATCGATTTGATAAATAATCTTTTATCAGGGTGGTTGTTGCTTCATCTGCTCCATATTCTTTTAATTTTAAAACAATCAGTTCATGAGGTAAGGTGTCAAAGGCCTTGGACAAGTCCATAGAGATCAGACCGATCAATTTGTTGTTATCAATTTCTTTTTTCCATTGTTCGGTTAGACTAAGAAGTGCTGAGTCGCAGCCGTGATATTTGCTATAAGCAAACACATATTTGTGATAAATTTCTTCAAAATACGGGCTTATTCGGCAATGAACAATTTTTTCGAGAACCTTCGATAAAGCTGGCAGAATCGTTATCGGCCGATAGTTAGTTTTTAATAGGCTGCAGTCTTTTTTGAGAATTCGAGTGACCTCGCCAAGTTTCCACTGTTGTGGTATCTTGGTTGAAGTTAAAACATGATTAATCAGTGTACCAAGAGGGAAGCATAAGAAATCCATATATTCTTTAACTGCTAGTGGAGGGATCCCATCACATCCAGAAGCCTTGTTTGGAGCAAGTTTCCTCATTACTTCGTAAACTTCTGTTGGATTAGTGTTGCTTAGCTACACATTCGGCCTGCCTATTAAGTTATTTGATATGTGCGATAAATCTACTGGATAGCCGTTTTGATTTTCTTCTTTGGTACTTTGAGTACAGCTTGTGAAGAAATTATTTAATGTCTCGGTTACCTCTTGAGGATTCCTGGTGATTTTGTCACCCTCCTTTAATGTTATTCCGTTATTGTCTACATTCTTTCAGGAATTAACATAAGGCTTGATGGCACCCCAAAACTTCTTTTGATCTGCATATTTTTCCGAACACAGCTTCTCAAAATGTCTGCGTATAGATTTTTTTCTCATGCTAACTACTTTGTTGCTCACTAGACGGTAGCTCTCCCAATCACACTGATTACGTGATCTATTAAAGTTTTTCTTAAGCCGATTTCGTTCCACCATTACTCTCCGAATTTAAGGAGTGATAAACTTCGATTCTGCTGAAGATCGTCGTTTGAAAGATCGCATTGGTGCGTGGTCATCTAACACCTGGTTGTATAACGTCTCCCAGCACCAGTAAACACCGTCTATATGATCAAAAACGTATGCAGCATGAAAAGAAACTCGACTGAGATCTTTCTGAAAATCATCTCGGTTAAAGCTAGGTCTTGAATATACGTTTCTTGACGACTTCAGCATTAGCATGTAACATTTTAGTTTTAAAAGCCATGTAAACCAGCAGATGATCACTGATTCCTGTTTCGATAGCGCCAGACGATTTCATAAACATGGGCATATTTGAAAGAATGACGTCCAGGCAAGAAGCTCTAGTTGTTGAAATTCTTTTCGGGTCTTTAATTAATGTGTCGAGGTCATAGATATCGCATATATCCAAAAGGCATTTGCCCTGGTTATCATTCATAAACGGATGAATTATGTCACAATTTAGATCGCCAAGACAAATCACGTTTACGCAGAGAGATATCGCTTGATCTAGGACTGTAGTCAATTCAGTTCTGAAGGTAGCATTGTTAACAGAAGGAGGCTTGTAGGCACTGACTCAAGCGAAGCGTCTTTGTCTGATGTGTAGGTCGAATAAGAGTTATTCCACTGATGTTGTAATGCTTTTCTTACATGTTGCGGCGATGTTATCGCGAATAAAGAGGGCAAGACCGCCACCGCCTTTCGTCCTGTCACGGCGAAATAACTTGTACCCGTTAACATAAAATTGAGAGTTAGGAAAGGATCGATTGATCTTAGTTTCCTGTATGGATGTCGAAGGCTCTGTTCGTTAGCCACTCCCTGATCTCCTCAAATTTGCAAGGTAAACTGCTTACATTTAGGTTTGCTATAATGCATTCCTTGCGATTTTCGTTTCTAATTAACTTCATGTCCGAAGGTTGTGAACTAAGGTCCAGCTCAGTGTCACTCGCACTTTCATGCGTGGAACTATACAAGGTGGAAAAGAATGAATCGCTAAGCTTCGGCAAGGCACAGAAGGAGCCATATCCAGTCAACAGATGGATTATTAAGATAGTACTGAAAGGTCCAGTTTGACATATTCAGACATCTTGCATGCGACCAGGTGTTGCACTCAGAACATAAAATGGCGTTTTGATTGCTTCTTACGGATTTAGAACATTCACCCCAAGGATATTTCGTAGACTTCCTTCTCGGACCAGGGTTAGGGGAAACATCTCCAGAAATCAACAATCTTTGCGCTTGAAATGTACCTACACCAGTAGCAGTGTATAATAATCTTCCTCCATTAAAACGCCTCGATGCGAGCTTAAAAGGTGGTTTGTAGTAAGCTCTTGACGTTGTTAAGTGGAGTGGAATAACCAGTCGGGTACAGCGTTCGGGATGCATAAAACTGCACTTTGATGACTCATAAACTTCTCGTAGAAGTGCGACAAGGAATAAAAGACACAATGGTGTGCTACCCATACGGACGTGTCTGACCGCCATCTACTTTTATGTATTGAGCACTGTTTTACGAAAATCGAAAGAAAAATCCAGCGATTTTTTTTCCGGCTGAAATTTAAAAAAGTTTGAAAATTTGCTAAAATAGCCGTTTTCGCCCTGCCTAAACGGTCAAATCGTCACGCAACTTTAGAAAGATGTTGGCCGCGCTTAACAAGTCCACTCACCATCAAACCTTGCACAGTAACTATAATATCACTGCACAATAAAAGTATATAAAACGTTTTTTGTAATTCCTCTTTGGTATGGGTCTTATCACCGTTTTTATAATGGTGTATTTTGCACGTCTTTTTGGGAGACAAAATTAAGGCTAACTTTGACCGGTTTAAACGACACCTGGTACCTAAAATTTCGACATTAAAATCATATCAGACGAGAGCTCATTTATCAAACTATACACTTGGAGAGTTTGGCCGTTGGAGATTAAAGTGCCCATAATGTCAAAAAACGTTTTTCGCTCATCTAATTCTACATTTCACCAAATGAACTTCGGTTTGAATATTTCGATTTGGATAAGACGCGATTTTTTTACGAATTTTTACAAAGTTCCAATTTCTATTTTCTTGCAGTCGACCCCTGCCGCTGATCACAAGAGTAACGTGCTCAAAATCACCACGTGACTGATGTCTGTGACGTAGGTTCAGGAACCTCACTTGACCTAAAAGTGCATATAAATACACTGGTCGAGTGCGGGTCGTTTACGATATTGTAAGCTTACGATATTGTGACCACTCTGAAGCAAATTCCCACTCGTTTTCAAATCAGATAGGTCACAACCCAAAATCACGTGTTTCTGAACCTACGTCACGACTCACTTTAAACCGAGGAAGACTGGTGCGAATGGTAGACCAAAATAGCGGCAACTTTGAATGTCTTTAAAGAATTATAAAAAAAAATACGTCTTATCCGAATCGGAAATTTTTTTCGCAGAAGTTCATTTGGCGAAATGTAGAATTAGATGAGCGAAAAACATTTTTTGACATTATGGGCACTTAAGTCTCGTCTCGGTAGTTAAATAAAACGTGATGCCACCCAAGTGCCATGTAAGCGTGCAGAATTCGATGTTCATTTCAAGCTAATTATAGAGTCAGTTTGTCGAAAATACACAGAAAAAATTAAATGACCATTAAACGGCGTCAGCATCGTTATGTTTCTTCTATGAAGCTGTGAATGTAAAGCAAAGTAGTTTCTAATCTTTTAATCTTTCTTAATCACGTTTTAAGTGCCAGCGTGTCTCTTAACACATGTAACACGGCTGATGGGATTTACAAACTTCAGAACATTTCGAAAACTATACAATCACAGTGTTGGCTAAAACGCCGCTACTTACACTTAGATTAATGATGTATTGAGTTGCTTCTTATCAAGTATACACAAACATTTT